ATATATATATATATATATATATATATATATATATATATATATATATATATATATATATATATATATATATATATATATGTAGTCTTCAACTTAAGACCATTTGTTCAGTGATAATTTGAAATTATAATGGTATTGAATGGAGAAACATTCCCTGACAGAAGTTACAGCTGTTGCAGGTCATGTGATCAAGATTTGGACACTTGGCGTATCTGCCCTTATGACTGAAGGGTGCTGCCAACACCCCCCTCCTCACCTACCTCTCTCCCATCCCAGCTGCTCATTTGGTCCACTAGTGCACACAAAACTGCCACAATCCTGGAGGCCTCATCCTGCTCCCTGTCACCCCACCATATCAAGATCCACTTACCTTTGCCTTTTTATGCAGCTACTGTCAGGTGTGCCAAGCCAATGCAGGGCTCAGCCAGACATCTAGTGAACATGTTGTTTCTGGAGGGTAAAATAGCTTGAAAGAGCCTTTCTAACCTTTAGAAACATCATGATCGCTAAGCTAGAAAGCTAGTGAACATGATGTTTTTGAAGGGTAGGAAGAGACTGTGCTTTTCCTGTGATTGTTCTGAAGGGATGTAAAGACCCTCTTTCTAGCCTTCAGAAACTTCCTGTTCGCTAACTCTCTGGCTCCACCTTCAGAATAGTTGCAGTGTGTTAGCCTTTCTACCCTTCAGAAACATTGTGTTTCTGGCTAGAAAGTTGGCAAATACGATGTTTCTGAAGGGGAGAAAGGCCAGCCTTTCTGAGTTTCAGAAAAGATTGCATTTGTTATCATTCTAGCCAAAAAGCTAGCCTATTCTCTACCTATATTAGCAAAATGACAACATTGGATTCACCCAAAATAAATATGCAGAACATATCCAAATATATGAAAAGTAGATTACTGTATTTTGTTTTTGAAGACTTCAGGTAGCAAATATCTTACATGTCATCTTATTTCTGTTCTTTAACTCATTTTATTTGTTCAGACTGTACAAGAAAGAATCTTATAACAGCAGAAGAAAAGACATCGCCGCCTTTAACTGCTTCTATTGAAACTTCAGTTCGGATACCTCAAGGTAAACTATGAAATGTATTAAATTATTTGTTTAATAGTAATTTTATTAAAAATTAAAGCTGCAACAATGAAAAACTAATATAAACTAAAAAATAATCCAGAAAAAAAGAAAATAGACAAAGTGGAAAAGGAAGGAAAAATAAGAATATAATAAAAAAAAGAAAGTATAAATAAATGATTTCTGCTTTCCCCATAACAAGTATGAACAATTATCACCTTTTCCTAAAATACAACAAATGATCTCTTCTTCCCATAAATCAGCTGTTATCTATAACTAGTTCTTTAAAAACCTTATCATTTCAGTTCTGATAAGCTCTTAATATTGAGATTATTAATACAGTACTGTTTCCATCTTAGCTGATTTGGATTATAAAAAACATTCTGGAATGGCTTCCACAATATTGTTACATCATCTGTTTTAAGAATTTAAAACAGATAGTAAAATAATGCAAAAGAAGATTTAAAAAATCCAGTGTATTTCACTGGTGATCTGTAGGGAACAAGTACTAGTCCTCTCCACCCCCCCACTCCCTCGTCAAAATAACTCTGCAGTTCAGAACAAAGCATATGTCGATTCCAGTTCCTAGTCCATAGGCAAAGGTGATATATGAATTAGAAAGTTATGGAAATAATGAAGTTCACCTTTTATGCCCCTGGCATTGTGGAAAGGAATGATTGTAGCCAGGCTTTCAAAGACTAGAGTTTGTGAGTAGGATCACTGCAGCTATTGAGGATTTTGTACAACTGTTTCTGATTTAACATGTTTGCTTTCTTTAGGGAATGTGGAGAAAGCAGTGACAGACCTGATAACAGATGTTGATGGCAAGCCAGAAGAGTGTCCATATGAAGTACTATACAATGCAACCTCCTGTCATTCTTTGGACAGCCTAGCCAGTGGAAGATCCTCAGACAGAGATTCAGTGAACAGGGAAGCCGAGATGACTGGTATTAAAGTGACAGGAGTGAGGCCTGTATGTAGCCTGATGTGTGTTATCTTTTCCTTTTTATAGAAAATAGACTGGGATAGATCACCAGGCCTCCAAACTTGCAGTAAATTAATAGCCCAGCTGTACAGTTTGGAAGTGATAGAAAATAATTGTTAAGAGCTTTAGTTACTGACTACTTAGAGGCCATTTGCCCTGCTATGAAATTCTCCCAGGAATTGTCCCAAGTTCACAGTGTGATGACTATTTGAATTTGGGTGAATTTCTACCACTATATATTTTGCTAGGGACTGTAGCTCAGATTAACTATTTAGGAGCAAGGGGAAAAAAATTATTGTCTAGAATATGACTTTCCTCTGAACATTTTTGCATGCAGTTTTCTTCAGATTAAAAAATCACTGTACTGTAATAATCCTGAATGTTAGGTTTGTTTGCATTGTTTTATTATATTAATTGGCCAGTAAATCAGTTTGTCATGGAATTTATGGATATAATCCAGCAGGGGGAGCTTGGAGGCTTTACAGGCTAATTAAAATAGCTTAAGTTAGTTTCTCTGAAAGCAATCAGTTTTATTTAAAGAATCCACCAGAGTTGATAAGTACTGGATTTGAGCATGTTATGGAATTTTATTGCACATTAAAATATGGATGGTTGCGGTTTATTATAAATATACAAAGTTAAATATGAATTTGTACATGCAGCCCAAATATGCAGATTTATTTTGAAGTTATCAGTTGTTGACATTTACTAGATCAGAGATAGGAGAGCCACTTAAGGCACTGGAGCAGGAGTAAGGAGATTCAGGGATTGACTTTTCCCTTAGGGACAGAAGCCAGTTGGGTGACGTTAGGCCTCTTACCTCCTCTCAACTGAAATCAGTGTCAGGGTCTTTGAAAATCAGTTGACAAACTTCACAGTAGGAACTTGGTGAGTGCAGTGCAAAAACACTGCAACTATGTGAGAAAAATGCTAAGAAGACAACTAGATTTTATATGTGTTTACATCATTTAATTTAAATTATTTCATTCTAATGGAAGTCATATTTTTATTGGGAATATAACATTGGATATATCCAATATTGTTATATCCATTTATAAGTGAAATATGCAGAAAATTTATTGAATGTGAGAAGATATACATAATGGGACATATTTACTTCTTATCTCTCCATAGCAGCTTTGAAAATGTGAATCTAGAATGAGTGATTTGTTACATAAATTCTGGCTTCAGCATTCCATTATTAAAATCCTTCATTGGATCAGTGTGGGCTATTATCATATAGGTTTGTTTCTTTGGCTAGCACTTCTTGGTTTCTAGATTCAAGTCCGATATTCTGTGCCGTCAATAAATGTGTATATGCATTTGTTTTAGAGGTATATTTGAAGATTGAAACAGGTTAATGAAACAGGTTTAAAGATAAATATATGATTTTTTAATGTCTGCAATATGTGCATATATCAGCAGCTTTTTAAGTGTCTTCTGAGATCAGGAACCCAATATTAACAGTATTGATTGATTAATTGATTATGTGCCATCGAATCAGTGTCAAATCTTAGCAACCACATAGATTTTCTATATAACAATCTGTCCCTAACTTGGTCTTTCAATGGTGAACCCTTCTTCACTGTAACTGACTCCATTTACCTTGCTCCTAGTCATCTTCTTCTTATTTTTCCTTGTATCTTTCCTAGCATTAGAACTTTCTTTAGAGAGCCAGGTCTTCACATAATGTAACCAAAGTAGCATAATATGAGCCTGACCATTTCTCCTCAAGTGAGAACTTGGGGTTGACTAATTCTCTTCTTGTCCTGCTTCTTCAACGTCCAACTTTTTCTTCTGTAGAGTATCACAGGGTATTGCTTGTACAATTTTGAATTTTGTAGGTATAGATACATTATGGCATCTGAATATTTTTTTCTAAAGCTTTTATGGTTGCTCTATCAAGCACTACCTACCAAGTCTGTGAAATATTTATTGAATGATAATTGTGCCAGTTTTGTTATTAGAGAAATTGCAAATCAAATAGTTAGGACATCTGTGTGGTCTACAAAGTTCAAGGGAAGACAAGTGACAAAATGTACACAATGCAGGCTCTCAAATTTTGTATTTTTATTATTACATTGCATGTAAGAAGGTAAAGCACAGTTTGTATCCTGAGGCCACATCATGTATTTCATCATTTTGATTAAATCACTTATTTGCTTTGCTGCAGTAAATGTGTTAATGTTGCATCAAAAATGAATTTGAACTGAGTCATTGATGATTATTTTTTTGAAAATTGTAGAGAGAGCGTCCACCACCTCCTGCAAAACCTCCCCCTGATGATGAAGAGGAACTTGAAGATAAAAAACATGATGCATCCTCAGTGGTAAAGATCCTTATGTGTCCTCCTTGATGTTAGTGATGTGGAGGGAATGCCAACACATTAATATGTTTAGAGGGTAATGTGACATTTATATAAAAAAATATTTATTAGTAGTTTTAACTGCCATATCAGCAGGCTTTTGCCAGGATTTTTTGCCATGGTCTGGTTTGCATCTGGCAGTTCTTTAACCTACTTTCGATTGATATGTATGGATATTCTGTAGATATCTTGGTATTACTGTATAGAGTGGAGTATTTTCAGTTGATATGTAAATATGTGCTACCTAAATTGTTCTTCATTTTTTATTTGCTAGAAAAATTTCCTTTGGAGAAAAAGTGCTTTCCTCACAATAAAATAAGTTGCAGCTCAGAAGCCGTGTTTTTCCATTAGGGGAATGAATCTTCCATATTTAGTTTTCCCGCCTATGAAGAGAAGTTCAGAATATTGTTAGCAAATCAGTATTCTTTGAAATGCCTCACAAATCTGTTAAAAATTATAGGGGTAGCCTTCAAAGGGACTATCAATCTGTAATGTGACAAAAGGAAAAACAAACATATTAGGAAATCATCCCTACTTGATTGCATCCACAACTTTGGAGGACAAACTTGGCATGTTACTCCAAACATAAATAAGTAGGTTGTTCATTTCAAATTTAACTTAGGGTAATAAGAACAAATCGGGATCAAACTGATTCTAGAGTACATTTTTAACTTAAACTATAATTTACAGAAGCTATTTACAGAAATTGGGATTGAATTAAAATAAGAAAAAGTGAAAAGGAGAGGAAAGCATATAAATTAATTAAAACTTATCCAAGTTGGACTTGTGATCTGTTCATAAAACATAACATATTAGATTAACCAAAAAGAAGAGTAACTTTCAAAGATGCTCAGAATCTGCAACTGTTTAGTGTCCAGCTTTCATTGATACAGGAAAACATATGCTAGCTTTCTGGCAAAACCCTCTGAGATTGTGGTTTACACAAAATAGTATGAACAGTTGAAGGTAGATAAATTCATTTTCCTTTTTATATATTCATTCTCCATACTTTCGTAACCAACACAGCAATTCTGCCTTTCCCAAGTATTTCTTTTGATACCTGGAGAAAACGGTCATTCAGTTCTAAATGCTTTCAGATGAAATTTACTATCCTAATCCATTCCAGATTGTATTTAGATCCAGCTCTGGCACTGAAGCAACCTTTAGGAACTGAAACAAGAACAGAGTTTGTTTCCTACATTACTAACAGTGCAGCTAGATGTAATTGCATAAGCATCATCCTGAGGGAGCTGCATGTGTTTCCTGTTTATTTCCTCTCCCAGTTCAAGGAAATAATTTTGATCTTTAAAATCATATATTGCTTGGCTTCAACAGGTATAAAATATCTATCTGTACCAGCCAGTGCTTTAAAATTTGTTGGAGATAGTCTCTTCAAAGCATTTTCCATGCATTATGGTAATATGAGATTTGTCATAGTACCTGACTTTTGGATTGCATATATGATTCATACCAATGAAAGTTGTGTTTTTATCACAAGTTAAAACCTTTTTGGGGGATACTTCTATTTAAATTGGGTTCTAAATGCATAGAGTTTTAATATTGTATTCACAATTACATGATTGTTCTGGAATCTTATTTCATATCTCAGTCAGATAACTTTGAATGAAATAATAGTTTAAAAGAAATAATACTATATACAAAACGTGTACACTTTCTACCTAAATGGAGGAATGTTAAAACATGTAGTTCTGAGGCTACCATGCTGTGGCAAATATTTACCATTACTTGCTACTTCTTAGTATAATGCTGAAAATTTATGAAAATACACCGGTTGGATTCCAAAGGGAAATAGGGACTGTGAAAAAATATAGAATTAATGGAAATTCGGCATAGGGAGAAGTGATTCAGTGGGGCTGTAGGGCCATAGAAATGCTGAAACTTATATTTGTTTCTCATGTATACGTGTATATTAATNTTACCATTACTTGCTACTTCTTAGTATAATGCTGAAAATTTATGAAAATACACCGGTTGGATTCCAAAGGGAAATAGGGACTGTGAAAAAATATAGAATTAATGGAAATTCGGCATAGGGAGAAGTGATTCAGTGGGGCTGTAGGGCCATAGAAATGCTGAAACTTATATTTGTTTCTCATGTATACGTGTATATTAATCTCTTTCATGTTTTGTAGCGATTATGAAAAGTAGTCAATGCACTATTAGTTAATAATAAGAGATGCAATTATTATTAATTCATGCCTGTGTCTGATTAGGGTTTCATCACCAAAAGAAAAAGTAGAGGGAGCACAGCTGATGAAGAAGAAGAACATCCTTATGAACTCTTGCTAACAGCAGAAACAAAGAAATATGTTACAGTAGATAAAAAAACAAAAGGTAAAGACTGTTATTGCAAATTGTACATAATTAGCTATCCCCAAAACTAATTCTGGGCAGAAGGTAAGAAATTGAAACAGTTTTAGCTTTTCTTTTAAGTTAGAGGGATTGACTTGTTTTGTGTGCCCACCTAGCAATTTCTTTTCATAAGACTTTGATTAAAATATTCTTGCTTTGGAATCTTCCTGGTAACAGAAAATGACTCAAACTTTTGTTGTATGTTTATTATAGAAAACCAAGCAAAGTGTTTGGTTAAAGTAGCCATAGTGTTTTGCAAGACACCTCAACTATTTTGGAAATTTCTCCTTGCTCTCCCAATTTGTGTGCTCATGCATACGCACTTTGCTCTCTTCATTTTGCAGTTCCTAGCAAATTCATTCAAATGTATCTCTTGCTGACCTAGTGTCCATTGTCCTCTCATATTACTGAATTCTCACATCTGTAGAAGAGCCTAGCTAATGTGACTTGTTTGTGAAACAGTCTTAGTTCTTCACATTTTAAAGGCTGATTTGAGGTTACTTTATATGTTCATTTTCCAAGCATGAATTCATACTGTAATAGAAGAAGTCTTGATTGTTTCTATTCTTCCTATACATACTAATGGTTTCTCAATATTCTGATAAAGGTAGAATTAATAATGAGAGCTATGGCTGTTGAAAAGGTAGCACTTTAGATTTTGTGCATTGTGATTTGAAATTAGTCCCATTGTGTTTTCAGGTATAGACATTAGGCATTAACATTCTTTTTATTTTTTCATCTGAAACATATCTTATTAAGTCAACCCATTTTCTCTATTGTAACAGTTGATTTCAGTGGATTTTGTACAATATTTCTTAAGTAGCTTTAGAAAGAAATGCCTACTTAGTTTAATATTTTTTCCAGAAGAAATAATTCAGTAGTTATATAGCTTTTCTAACTATATGACTTCAATAAGCAATTGCAATACTAAATAATGAGAATTAAAGTAATCTCTTAAATAGAACACTTTTGATTTGCTTCATAAAAATAGTATGACTTCTGAATCATACATCCTCCTTTATTAAAAAGAGCATTATGTGAACAGTAGGAGAAAATAATCAAATTTGGAGGATTCCTGTCTAAATTTAAACCATATTTTAATATTATAAGTATGAATTACAGCAAGGCTTCAGTTTTCATGATTCCTCATTCCTCATTCTCTCCCATAATTACAATATTTTATTATCCAGAGCTTAGTTCTAAAATACAGCTAAAATTTACTGTGTTTTGAGATGTCCATTTGACATTGAAAGGTCTTTTTCGAGTCGCTATGCACCACACGTATTAATTATGCAGATTTTTACAGTCATCAGTGGAAACCTTTTGAATTTAGGTAGCTTTTTTTAACAGGAAGTACTCTCTCCAGTGTGCATGATCCTAAGTATGATTTTTCGCCTTTTCTCATAGTTTATTTTAGACTATCACAAAAAGAGCAATAAGATCTGATCCTTCTCCATATTCATTTGTTTAGTTGAAGGCAAAGTCCTGGGTTTCTTTTTCCTGCATTTATCTTCTTCATGTTCATTTCTCATTTCAAGAAAAATTCTATTCCCAAAATGTTGGGTGAAGAAAATAGTTTAGAAATTAGCCTACACTTTCCCAATAGACTCTTGCCCAAGTCCCATTTTTCAAGACCCAAAATTGCTCAAAATATATTCTTTCTGTCCAGCATACTTTGAAGAGAGTCATATTATCAAGAACTATCCTTATTTCCAAAAAATCATCAAACTGACTACCAGTTTTTCCTACCTGCATTTACTACTGCATCTTGAGTTACCGCTAAATCAATACTGCCAGTTTTTAAGAACATATCCCAGCATGTTGTTTTTAGCAACTGTTCTTACAACCTTCTGATCTCAGATCCTCAAAAAATATTAGCACTAATTGTTCTTGGCCTAAAAACTCTGGCATCTTCAGAAACATCAGCACTTTTGTCGTCTGAGAATGGACTTCAGACTCTGTCTTCCAGTACTTCTTTATCACGGTCCCTATGAATAAGAATTCACATCATGCACTGCTTCTTTAAAATATCCTAGGAACTTAGGTTTTTTTCACTTGAACCCTACCCCATGCAACATAATATTATCTAATTTAATTCATTAAATTTTAAGGCCACCCAACTCCAAAAAATCTCTTAATGGCTTACAATGTTTAAAATACACTCACTTCTTGTGCATATGGAGGGTTATGGAGAGTTGTGTCATTGACTCTTATTCCCATTCTTGGGCTTTCACTGAACAGCAAAGAACAGATTGTCCTGATTTTAGACTTCAGTCTGGGAACAAGTCTCTTAAGAAAAACAATTAAGCAGTGTCAAAGATCTGATTCATTCCATATTTTCTCCATTTATAAATATAAGGTTTGGAACAACAATTTCTTTTAGGAACCAAGGAAAAGCATTCCTCCATTATGGAGGAGACTTGAAAACAGAAAAAGGAACCTCTGGTATAATGGCTGTCCCATGATAATCCCAGGTTCCATTGATCAAAAGATGATGGATCAGTTTTGAGCTCTTGAGTCCCATTTTACAGATATCATTGAGTCCAAATGAACAACAACAAAAGGACCAAACCAATACACAGGATAATCTTAATTCTTCTTGTCTTATTCTCAATTCAGAAGTTCAGGACCAGTTGAAAATTCTGTGGCTATAATTCTAATGCCACTTCAATGCTGATCTCTCTGATCTAGTAGAAAAATTATCAGTGCTGGAATTATACACCATCTCTAAGAGATCATTTAAACTAATACATCTTATCTCATAAGATTAGAGAAAGTTAACTGCATTTAAATCATATTATTTCAGAGCAATAGTGTCCTCACCATCTTGTTTTACTGTGGAGGTTCTACCTCAGTTCCAGACTCTTGTACCTGCTCTTAAAATGTTGTGACTTATAAATTGGCAAGCACTAAATTATTTGGTTACTTTTTCTCTCTTTCCCAGTGCAGGCACACTGAGGTAATAGTCACAATACAACTTCTTGCCCTTGCAGCTTGCTGTTTCTAAATGCATATAATTCATTAGTTGTAATATTATATTAGTTATAATAAGATATTTTAATAACGTCCTAATTATAACCTATTGTCCGTCCTCCCTTCTCTGCATTGTAATTCTCTTTGAAAAGTAAGCTCCAAAATGAATGACAGGTCAAATGTTCATAGAAGGCTCATGATGCCCTCCAGACATGATTACTCTTCTTTTGAAAGGCAAGCATTAAAAAGGCAGAAGAATCACCAGGCTTCAAACGGGGCTCTGAAACATTGTGTTGCTTTTGCATTCAGTTTACTATTGCACTCTACTAGTAAGCCTACTTCAAAATGATTTGAGAAAAAGGCATTCTGTGATGGCCCTCCATTCAGGAAGAATCACATCCCACATTTTGAGTAATATGGTATTGAGACATTGTCCCAGCTTTGCAGCAGATGGTAGAGTCTCACCTTTGGCTTTGCGACTCCAGTGAATGATACTCCCATCACATTCTATTGCTGGGAATTCAATTGTAGGTAGCCACCTTTTCTTTGCAGATAAGAGATTATAAGTCTGGTGCTCCTGCTTCCGCATGCCAGGAAGGCTCACCAACACAGTAATCAGATGCAGAGTTCAGAACAGGAAGTACCATTTTCTCAGTACTAACAGGTTGTTTTCTTGAGGCTAGAACCTTCAGCTTTATGATTAAGGAGCAGGCACAACTGTTTTAAGATCTTGCTTTCAGTACTGTTCAAACATGATATAGCTGCCGTGTTAATTACTATGCATTATTCTTTGTGGATCTGGCCTCCAAACATGTTTTATCAACTCAAAGATTGTTAATACTTTTGATATATATTATAGCCCTTTCTATTTTTCAATCCTGGCCCTATGGAAAGAAATTTTCAATACTGGTCCTATGAAAATGTGCATTTTGCACCAATGGATAAGGACTAGTAGAAGCATGAATCATGAATGAAGGTTTTATTACTCCATAGCCTTCATTCTGTACATTTCCAGCTACTGAGCATGCCTACTGAAGTACTGGCACTTTTTAGGTGAGAAAGAACTGTCTCCAGAGCCTTATATCTCAAAAGATGATAGGAAAACGATCTTTCACAAGCAAAAGAACTAAACAGCAAATCAATATTTCCAGGTATGTTAGAGTCAGAGTGGAACAAACATTATGGCCATAGCGGGCACCCTTAAGGAGATATAAATTTCATATCTTCTGGGTTGAACTATGAAGTCATGGTCAAGACTGAAAATTTCCCATTTGAAATGTGAAGGCTTGTTTAATGAGAATAAATCATGATAACCCGAATGAGGTCCAGAAGCACAGGACTGCAATAAAAATACTGGACCTTTACTTACATCAGCAGTAATGTTTCTGATTTCAACATAGAAACTGAAATTCCACAGTTCAGCATTGTTTGCCTGGACATCTAGAGTGCATCTGGGCTTAATCTCCAAGGTGATAATTCTTCCTTAAAGATTGGATACAGAATTCTGAAGACATCCATCATGCAAACCAGTTCCTTTAATTATGAGGATACTGTAGCATCCTATGTGGATATCTACTGATCCACCATTTCCCAAACTGGGTTTCTGTTATCACAGATTCATAAGGCCTTGCTATGAGGATTGAGGTTACTGGACTCAGTTCCCTGAAACATCCCTCAACATCCTACCCAGCCTCTTGATACAATCCCAACATTTCTAAAGTGTTATGGTGTCTTCTTTCTAAGGATGTTCTGGTTGGGACTTTATTCTAAACATTTTACATTTCCTAAAATGAAAGAGAAACTCTGCCCCCCCATTGTTAGTGCTTCAGGTTCATGATGATTATACTCAAATCAACCTAACTATTGCTCCACCAGATTGATTACTTAGTATACATAGATGCAAAGTTGCCTATATCCTTATGAGCCTCATTCTTTTTGCATAAGCCGTGATAACTCAGTTCAGGGTATTCTCTTCAGCTTTGCTACATCATCATCAAATTGCATACATTTAGGGTGATAGCAATGATATATTTAAGATGAATTACAGTCTAATCCAATTGGATTAAAAGAGCCAGTTAAAGTTAAAGCTATCAGGCTAAAATTGAAAGACCATGAGATCCTGCCTCAGTCCTCGGAAGCAGCCAATGGCAAATCACTTCTAAAAAATCTTGCCAAGAAAACTGTAGGACAAGTCCAGGCATTTGTCAGGAGTCAACACTGATTTTAAATGCAAGCTCTCTCTGTCTCTCCCTCTCCCCCTGATTAGTGGCTGGTCTTCACGAACTACCTCACTCATTATGTATTTTTCACTTTGGCATTGTGCGTCTAACCTAGATTAATTCTTAGCCCTTTGTAGCCAAATATTGATTGGTTGTGTTTCAAGTGAGAGATTTTTCCAGTTTTAGGTGAAGATGCCATGAATTAAAATGTAACATTTACATTGAAAACCTATAATTAAAAATGGTCTATTGTAATACTATACCATTCATCTGGTAGGAATCTAAAATTGTGACATAAAGCTTACAGAATGTATTTTATTATCCCTCTCCCCCCCAGGCAATATGTTGTTGCTCATGTGGTATAGGAAAAGTTGAGCCATTTTGTTGTAGAACTAAAATACGGGTGTCAAATTTGCCGCGTCATGTGACATGTTGCGACATATCATGACTTTTTTCGCATTACTGGAGCTGGGGCGGGCGCAGCCTCTGCATGATGCAACCGGCCCGTGGGCTGGCAGTTTGAAACCCCTGAACTAAAAGGTAGTAATCCTTTTTAGGAGAGATTTTAGAACAGAATTCAAGTGATCCCATTCTCCAGAATTGTATGTCTTGCTTTTAACAGTAATTTGCTAAAGACAGATTTGTATTGCACCCATTAAAAATATTTTTTTATTTTTTAATTCTTAGGTGAATCACCTTTAGGTGCTGCCTGCAGTGTCCAGCCCCAGGTAAGACAGATATAATTTTAGTATAGATTATATCCAATATGCCAATAGACGTTCACTCATACCAAGGAACGTTCTCTTCTTCTCCTTCCTCTGTCACTCCTTCCTAAGGAGGGACTTGCTATGGAAGGACCTGGCTTCTGGAGTGTATTTAAGAAGTATGTGGAGAAGAAAACTCTGTTCTGCTGAGGACTGTCATTGTAAAAGTAGACCTAACACTATTTGACACTATTGCATGCAACAGTGCACATACAGTATATACAATGCAACAGATCCAGTTTACATTTTACAGCTGTAGTGTTAAGTATTAAGAAAAACCGTTTTAAAACTATGAGATGGTTCAATATTTATGGGAAGTTTCAAGCTCAAGACACCTCCAGAACAGTCAAAACATCCTGCTTTGAATTTGAGACAGCTGTTTGCTGTTGAAATAGGGTGTTCTCAACTCAAGACAGTTCAGTTGCAGCATGGCTCAAATTTAAAACATTTTTGCAAAATCCTACTGAGATCTATCAAGGTATATGTTTCCATTTCCTATATTTTATAGCAAACATTGAAACAGAACTGAAATTGTTTAATGCTAAACAACAGTAAAATGATGAAAGGATAATTCTAATTAAGAAAAATGGAATACTTTATACAGTGAATCAGAAGGGGTATTTTGTGCTGGGTGGATGGGGGGGACGACACTTGCGTTTTATATTGATTTATGTTCTTAACCATTGTAAACTGCCCAGAATCATTGAGAGTTAGGTGGCATATAAATTTAATAGGTCACACAGTTGGCCAGATGTTTAGATATGATAATGACATGATATGATGATGTTGTTGTTGATGATGAAACAAATACCAAATGTAGTAAGCATCTAGATCAGGCCTGCACAATTTGTAGAAGGGAAAAGACTACATCAAAAAAATTAAAAATAATCGTGGCTGTAAAGACTACTTTTGACTACAGGTCAGCTGAATTGTGGCTGGCAGAGCAGTGGCAGTGCTGCAGCTGGAAGCCTAGGAGACACTTATCAGCATGATTTATGAAATGACAGCAATGGTTATGTTTGGTGGCAGTGAATTTATTGAGTTTCTGAAAAACCTGAAGTCTGACAACAGTCTGAAAACACAAGGCTGTTTGATGGGCTGTATGTAGTCAATGGGCCATATGTTGTGCAGGCTTGATATAGACTTTCTGGTTGAAGTAGTATATAGCTAAAAGTATTGATTGCTTTTAGTTTCAGGAAAAAAATTCAGAAGTCATATAGATATTATTCTTTGTCCTTTTTTAAAATAAAATTATTTATTTTAAATGTATTTATCAAATATTTTTATGATACAGTTATAGTAAAGTGGAAGTAGTTGTTGCCACCAAGAATTTGATTCAACAAATAATACAGGCAATAGAGTTTTCCTATCTATCGGTTCAAATTCAAAAATGGTATCTGACATTTAGATTTTGCATTCTGTTAAAAATACTGATATAATCAGTACCAGCATTTCAGAATGAACTAGGCATTGTCAGAGATTAAGAGCTCATTATTCCCTGAAAGTATTTTCTTTTTCCCTAACCTTGTTTAAAATCTAGCAATTTCCCATCACCTCTGGCTAACATGGTCAGTGCAGAGGAATGAGGAGCCACAGATGAGATCAACATATTAATTCTAGTTGATTATTTATTTTTGCACTTTAATTATTACCATTTGTCAAAGTTTGTACTAAACATTTGAAAATATTTGGAAGCATGATACTTAAGGTAAAGAGGTATATGGAATTATATTTCACTTACATAATTTTTATTTGAGGCATAAAGGTTAACTTTTGATAAATCATAACTAATAATATTACAGTATAATATTTTACATGATTCTTTGCAGGTATGGTCACGAAAAGGTCTATCTTCTCAGGATGGTCAGTGGCCACTAAATTGCCAGGCTTCTTCCGATTTTTCTTCTAGCCATTCTGAACAATATTCAAGTCCTGAATCTCAGTTGGTTGATATGCCAAAAGGTAGGTAATCATTCTGAGTGATTCCAACTTCATAGAAACCTATGCAGAAAAAATGGTATTTGCTTTTTAATATATGCAAGAATCCTTTGATCTAACTAGCATGACAAAAAAATTTCAAAAGTCTCTTAATAGGCCTTTGCTCATGCTGGGAGATTTTTTTTGTTTGTTGTTTTGCTTTCGGGAGATGGGAAACACAGCCACAATTTCATTGCAACAGTGACCACTTTGTTGGACTTCATAGCTGCCTCTGGAAGAATGCAATGTTCCAGTGTGTGATACACACTGTCAGCTGCTTTTCCACCCTCTGATAGCAGTGTTGCTAAATGTTAACACTGTGTATAGATGCCATATTAAGCATTTTGTGCAAACAGTAAAGTGCAGAGGCATTTTATTCATCTTTTCATATATGTTGCTATTAATATATTATCACAGCAAATCTATGAAAGCAGACAAGATGTTCCTTTTAGACACTATACTTCCTCTGGGTAGCTTAGACTGATACATTTCCTCGGCTACACACATATTAAGATAAGAATCTTAATGTAAATCTGGTCAGGATGTAATTTTGTTCTGTAAAATGCTCTCAGACCAAAAAAGTCTTGTTCTTCATAATTTTGTGTAAGAAAAATAAATGCAAAAACATTTCTGCTGGAAAAAAATGCACTGTACCAAACACAAGCATAAAATACTTTGCATCTCTACAATAATTGATTTTATAAAAAGTATTTTCTTAGGTATTGAATACATTTTAAGCTCAGAGGAATAGCAGCCAATAATCATAATTTTGTTAAACCTACAGAATATGTCTTAAGGAAAAAAATTCAATAATACATAAAGCAAATAAGTCTAAGGTTATTAAATTGAAATCAGCTGTAGCTTAATATTTAAGAAAAGAGTAATGATTTATTCTTGTGAAAACTTTGTGGGATATATATCATGTTAAATAGAAGCAAAAATCCTTAGAAATGACTATATAAGGTGTATCATTGAAACGACCTTTCCTGATTTGTTCTGATTTCTTTGTACTGATTAATGAACAAAGGCTCCAATTGAGTCAGAGATAAGTACTTTCTGATTTGATTTAGGAATAATGAAGCACTACTGAATCATTGCAAAATGTAACCTAACTTTGGCTGAATAGAGCCTACCAGGGTAATTTTCTTTTAATGTTCTTCTGGATTTGAATTTAGTACCTTTCATATCTCTGCTTGTATGTCCAATCTAAGATAAGTACCATAGAAAAAAGCTTCACTTTCTGTTTCTCAGATATTCTTCAATGAGTAAAGTACCATTGTGAAGAACCTAGGTTGAATAACTTGGCTTTTATCAATATTAAATACTAGCTGTACCGGGCCACGTGTTGCTGTGGCTCAGTCTTGTTAAATTTACGTCCAACAGATGACACTGTTTTTCAAAAAAGCATGTTTTTACCTGTCACAGGTGTGACATCTATATAATAGCTATATAAAAACACGTGCGTATTCGAATGCAACGTTGTGTCTCAAAATTTCAAAGCAATCGGTGAAGAACGTTCGGAGATTTAAGATTTTGAACAAACGAATATTTACATTTTTATTTATATAAATTGGGCAACCCATTAATGATTGTTGTTCAGAGTGGCTCTTTGCTATAAGCTTTTACATAATTTACATCAGTGAATTATTTATGCTTTAATCAGGTTCTGATTTTTGATACAATATATTAAAGCACGAGTCTAAGTTATAATGTTACCTCTCTGCTGCAATACATATTGCAAGCTGAAATTCAGTGCAGCAGTAGAAGAGATCATTTTATGTAGTGAAATAAGTTAATGGCAAAGTGAAGCTTTAAAGAAATTATTGCTGTTGCAAAAGGAGGTGAGTTCAAGTCACCAGGGAAGGAAACAGCTGTCGGGTGGAGGGGGGAATTTGTTCATATTTGCAGGTTGTTTGCAGCTCATCTTTCCCCACCCAGCATTCTGTGCCAAGGAATAGGGAGTGTTGCTCTAAATAACACTTTGGCCTTTATGGAAATATGTTCCAGGAGACTCAGTCTCTCCCCTCCCCCCACCCCCATCCCTTTGCTGGGTATAGTTAGCACTTCTCCAAACCTTATATAGCAAGGGCTGATTGTTAGTGTTAACAGGAATAAAATGAAACAGAGCGGGCTGCCAGATTGCATAAATCAGGCCACTGTTTAGAATTTCATAAATGCTCCAAGTTTGGGTAAAATCTGAGTACTCTGAACAATGCTGTTCTTTCTTCTTCTTCTTTCTCTCTCTCTCTGAGGGAGAAAAGCTAAAATCTTGTTTCTCTTGATCTTTATGTGTTGGGTTTTATTTTGGGGGGGTTTCCTACCCTTTTGAAGACCAAAAAAGGTTCAACAGAAGCCACAGCCAAGCAGATGTCCAAGATGCCCAGGTACTGGATCAATTCTCAGGTCTTCTGCATGGTTCTTCTCCAGTGTGTGACATAAGTGAGGACCCTTTGAGACTCATTTCTGCTGTGGGCAAAGGAAGTACAGAAGGAACTGCTATGCAGCTGGAAGATGTTGAGGCTTCTGGATCGGTACAATCTAGTACTGCAGACCAAAATAAAGTGGTCTATTCAGCCATACGCCATATCCGTGACAAGTTGGATTCTGGAACTTTAGCACATCCTCATTTGCCACAGCACCCCGGTAGTGCTGAGGATGGAGACAAGAGCAGTGTTGTGGGAAGAGTTCATCCAGGAAGCAAGTCCAAAGCAGACCTCAAACTTAGCCGTAGCTTATCAAAATCGGATTCTGACCTTTTGACCACCTCACCAACAGAGGACGATACTATGGGGAGCAGAAGTGAATCCCTTTCCAATTGTAGCACTGGGAAAAAAAGGCTGGAGAAATCACCTTCCTTTGCTTCCGAGTGGGATGAGGTAAGACCAAGCTGGATTTTTTTTTAAGTAAAATAAAAATTGCTGCAGGAATTCAATGATAAGAATGGATCAGGGATGAAAGAGTAGGAAGCTCTGGTAATTATCCTAGCGTCGGATTTATTTGATAGATAATTAAAATTACGCCTATAAATTGAATTCAGTTATTTACTCTTATGTGATGCAAAATTTAGGGAAAGTTTTAAAAGTATTCAGTGTTGTCTGAAACAGTGATGTTCTGTTCAGAATCAGTTGTCATATTCGAATATGTTTACATAGCATATTCTCTCTAGAATAGCTTGTGGAAAAGGGTGGGTCATACTGTGTATCTAGGGCTCCTTTATGTTAGTGACAAGACTTCAGTAAGGTCAAGGAGTACCTGAATGTTTTTGCACTCTCAAAATAGCTAATTCCAAGGATTAGTGGGAAGTCAGCATAATATGTGTGAAATCATTCCTTAATAGAACTTTGTTCTGATAAGAAATCAGCAGAGATTAAGTGCTGTTCATCAAACAGCATTAAAGCATTTCTTGCTTATTCTACTCTGGCTTAAATGACGTTGTGTGAGCATGCAAACTGCCTTTTATAGATTGGAAAATCTATTATTAAATAGTTAAGACTTGTTGGGGAAACATTATGCCTATGCCAGGTCTAAAAAGAATATTAAAGAAAATCCATTAGCAAATAAATTAGGGAGGTTAAATTGTATGGATTATAAATTGAACATATGAAATCATTATTATTCTTATTGTGTAATGCTGGGTCTTTTGGAGTACCTTGGGTGCAAAATATTGCAATCTACAATTTCCTAAAGTTGGGCCATCTTTTTAGAAGACTGCACAGCTGCTGTGCAGACCTGGGAAAAGATGTGTATATTTTAAGGTACACAGATGTTGCCTGTGTGACCCTATATACTCCAGGGCTCTTTTTCACAACTGAATCAGAAGTATTGCACTAACTGCTATTTATTTAGAGTGCAATGGTAATTTCTTATAATGAAGAAATTAAGCTTTCTATTAAATTGCAGTTCTTATATAAAACATATTTCAGTTCAAATACATGGTGGTATATACATCTGTATATACATCTAACCAGCTCAAGTGCTGGAAAGTCTGTTTCAAATTACTACATAATATTCACTTTATGCTACAAGTTACATGATTTATGAATATCACATCTTGTTCTGAAACTGTTGCTTGCATTGTAGAAACAGTATTTGTTACCTTGAGATTGTTACTAAACCCAGTCTAAAATTATTATTGTGAAGAAATCAGTCTTCCAGAAATGAAGTTATTTTAAATACTTCAAGTTTTTTTAATCTGAATTACTAAAGTACTTAACAGAATGCCTTTTTAATATTGCTATAATGCTTAGCCTGTTTCTTCCAAAATTTTTGCATATATTATCTTTACAAAATCTGAGAAGGATCAGTAATTATATACCCTAACAGAATAATTTCCTTTTGTTCCATTGGTATTTTGATGACAACTTGAATTGTAACTTTATTTGAAAATTTAAATTAAGTAAGTTTAATATTTGTATCAAAGAGTAAGCAGTGATACTAGAGGTATAATGAATAATTAATCATCATTATTAAAATATTTTGCAGTTCTTTGGGATATTTATAAACTAGATCTTTTCTTTAATAACAAACTGCTTTTTCCTCTCTTCTTAAGCATCTCTCCGTCTCAGGAATAACTGTGATTTTATGGATTGAATTCAAATTTAGTTGATCCTAATAAAATAAATTAGGTGTGAATTATTTTTCAAACTTTTTGATTGATTTATTGGAACCTAAAAATGGGAATAATAATGCAGAATTGTGCATCCTACTTAGAGGAAAGCTATATTGTGGAACTAAAATGCAGATTTGGAGAATGGCAGATTATTAATCCGATTATAATGCAGTGTTTGCATGAGTATCGGTAATAACAGTAGAGTTCAGAAAAATATTTTTCTCTATAAGGCAAGGTAGTCAAAGTGTTTAAAAAATAAAGATACAAAGAAAGTAACATAAAACAAAATAGAAACAGAAATGTTCTATTTCTAAATGTTTTGTGCATGAATTTTTATGAAGCATCCAGTTTCAAGCATGAAATGGGATGATTCAAGCATTCTGGGGATGTTTTAAGCTTGAAATAAAAATATTTAAACCCTGAAACATTTCCAAAAAGTGGGGTGGCCTGTTTTGTACTCAAAATTGGGACATTCTGTGAAATTTTCATGCCCCTAGAAGTTTATTATATTGGTATTTGTATATTTATACCAGAATGCCATCTATTATTTAGATTATGTGCAATTTACAGTTGCAAAATACAGCAATTAAAACAATAATTATTTAGGCCCATAAGGTCCAGTGGAAAAATCACAGTTTTTATTGTCTTCCTATTAACAAGATTTAGAGGCATTCTGACTTCAGGAAGGCAGGCTAGGAGGGAGGGGGGAGTGTTCACTTGGCAAAAGTGGGAAGTGTAAGTGAAATCAATCATTTCTAGGCTACAGGGCCTAGAGCAGTATGGGCTCTAGAGTGAGGAGTGCTACAGCCAAGAAGGCCATCCAGTAATTCTCCACCCAAATCCTGGTGTGTATGTAGAAAAATGCAACACATCCTCCTGGCTAGTGCTTATGGAGTGAGCAGATTCCAAGTGGTACAAAACAGTTTTGAAAATAACAAAAATCAGTTAATCTTAAGGCAAAGTGATCAATCCGTGTCTTCAAGCCTAGTATTGTAGAGCAGTCCAGATGTTGGGCTAGAACTAGAGAGACCAGTTTCAAGTATGCTCTTGCAAGGACAGTCACTGGATGATTTTGTGTCAAGCACTTACTCTCAGCCCAGCCTACTTCCCAAGGTTGTTTCTTAGAGGAAACAAATGGAGGATGGGGTGCTATGTGTACCACCTTGAGCTCATAAATGAAACAGTGAATAAATTGGTGATTCAACCTTGCAGTTATATGGAATTAGTTAATGTTCATCTAGCCATAAGATTAGTTATTTTTGTCATTTTCTCTTTAATTTGCTGTCACAATTGCTACAGTTTTATTATAGATTATTTAAAGTCTGAAATTCTGTAAAAATTTCTCAGTATGTTTCTATAACCTGAGCTAGAAATTGGTGTCATGTAAACTAGTCCATTGCTTCTTTAAGGTATTTTCTGTAAGGTAAAAGAAAAATGTTTGACATTATAATAATAAAATATTATTATATTATTATTAAATAACTTTTAAATATATAAAAATGATTGCTATTTATTGCCATAGGAGCAAATACATATTTTACTTCAGCTTTGTCTAATGTGATTTCTCCAACATTGTTTACTATTCTGTGACTCTGTTTCTTATTATTAAGATTGTAAGCTGGATCAGTCATGCTTAGATCAAATCTTTTTTTTTTCTGTGGATGGTCACATTCACTTTCAAGTAAACAACAGTAGCACTACTGGATGTTTCTTAAGGAAACACTATTTAGGGCTAAACAAAAATATATTATAGATTTTATATGTTGGATAATATAGTTGATTTCCCTCCCCTAAAATATTGTAAACCTAGACTTAAAGTACAAACCAATTCTGAACAAAGTGGGAGAAGCTTGATGTAGCTGTTCATTTTACTTCTCAAGCAGAAGAAGCTACATGGAATCAAAGATACTTTGTGTTGATGCTTTAAGTAAGATAGAAGGAGTTGAATTGATTGTCAATAAGTTCCATTTTCAGCTAGTATTGCACCATTTCTTACATTTTATTGAAGTTAATATGTTGAATGGCATTTACAACTATTTATGTATAGAAATATGAAAGCACAAAGCTACACATTAGCTAAAAAAGCTTCTTATTAGATTATTTCACTGGAGAATAAATTAGAAGGAATGAACTTTTATATATTAGGCTGTGGGTAGCATAAATATTTGAGTGCTTTTAAACATAGCTGAAGGCTAAAGTGGTAAATTTGTTTTTGTAACATGTTTATAAATATTCAGTACTCCCCAAATCAATGTGCAGCACTCAAAGCACATTATATTTTACATAAAACTGTTATTGTTGTTTTTGAAGATTGAAGTGAGATATGTAAAAAATTGAAGTGAGATATGTCATTCTATGCCAGGATGTAGCACCCAATTTTTGGAGATGTATGTGTATCTATTATAGGACAGCATAAATAAATTTATTCAAATACTTAATATCTATTTAAAGTGATCTACTTCTAAATATGCCTACACTAAATATAAATCATTTCGGGGAAGTCTAAGGACAACAGCATAAAATTAAATATTTACAAATAATGAAACACTGCAGAAATAAGAAAATACTATTTGGTTTTTCAAGATTCAAAGGTGAAATTAATTGTATCAGCCTTGATTATTTCTCTCTAGGTGTTCCTACTTTGTAATCCTACTGAGATGCTAATATTATTCTGGTGACTTGGTCTAGTGCTTTTATTATTAGAAAGTAATTAAATTGTAAGTTATGAAACAAGACTGGATTGCTTGCATCAGATTTATGAGGTATTTTCTACAAGTACTGTTTCTTTTCATAGAGTAGATTTATCACTGTTTAATATACATTGGTGGGCTTCTGTACATGTACATATACAAATAATTTGCATACTGAAGTACCTAACTGCCGAGGGCTTTATGCTGGTAGGATGTCATGCCTTCCCCTTAGCTGTCCTTGAAGGCCAATACAGGAAGGTTCCTTGGCGAGACAATGGCTCTGTGACTCTAGACGCACGGAAACAATAGAACATGTGCTTCTCCAGTGCATGTACTACAGAGATTCATACTAGACATATCTCACCATTATTACATAAATACCCAGGGTGCACAAGACAATTCTACACTTTCCTGCTGCTTTCATATATTAATCCTGCTATAACATATAATGTTGCCAGATTCTGCACAGCAGTGTTTAAAATCTGTCAGACGATGACTTGTGCGATAAACTAGTCCTAATTAGCATCCAGCTTATTCATACTAGAGTGTTCTCTACTGTGATAGATTTAGTCAGCCA